TGTTGTGAGGGTGGGGAGTGTTCATAGACATGTCCCCTAAGAACTTACTATATACAACTTACAATAAACCTGAAAAAATAACAAACTGGTTGATATGATGGCACTGGCCAATCTCTTAGACTGAGTGGCCAAGGAAGTTCTCTTAGAGAAGGGCGACTACTGTGTAAAAGATACTTCTTGGATGTTCCTGTTTGCTTTTTCTAAAGGTGAAAAGGGGGAAAACTTCTGCTTTCCATTTTATTCTCAAAGCATGTGTTTTAATTAAAAGGGAATTTATGCAACCACACACACCAGGAAGATTTATAAGTGCAAGAATGCAAATTCAGTCTATTTTTAAAGGATGTTATTGACAGGCACAGTTCAAAAAAACCTCACCAGGGAGCCCTTTCGTGAGACGCTGTGTGTTTCATGATGAAGTTTATCCTTTTTCTTTCTTTCTTTTTTTTTTTTTTTTTTTTGCCTTCATGCATATTAAGTTGCTAGAAATGGTACTTAATTAATCACATAAAAGCCTGACACTTGAAAAGATAATGTGTGAGAGACAAGATGAAGGTTCTTCTTGCCCTCCTCTCTCTCCTCCTCCACCTCTTTGCAGTTGAGAGAGTGCCTGGCTGGAAAAGCCCACTTCTGTACCACCTGGCCTCTGCTCAGTCCCAAACCTGCTGGCTGCAAGTCTGGTTCCTTGTGGCTGTGGGCAGATACAAGTTATCTGCCTTCTAGAGTGGCAGCATATGCCTCTGAAAACCAAGCTATATAGAACTTAGAACTGGCAGCTCACCCAGTCTCTTCTAACTGAGGGACTTTATGGAAGGATGCTTTATAAGAAACTAAATTGTCTTCTTTTGTGAGAAAGAGATGGATCTATTCAGAATCCCGGAAGCGAGGCACAATAGCTGGAGACCCATTGAAGTGACCAGGGAGAAGGGCCCCTTCTGCCTTGGCTCACTCAGCAGTGTCTTTAGAACAGCCAGATTTTAAGCCTGTAACTCCCAAAGTCAGGAAAAGGGAAATAAAATGAGACTGCATTTTGATCCTTGCTAAAGTGTTTAGTTTTGCTAAAGAATTTGTGGCTTGCCATAAGGAGAGAGTAAGGCTTTAGTTTCACTTTCCTCCAAGTTTGTCCTGAAGGCTAAATCCCATCACATGTTTTCTGTGTCAAACAAGGGATGGAACTTGAAAATTTCCTGCTTCTACTGCAAGCTGCTTGAATGGATTATGCACTCATTGCTCAAATATCAGCCAAACGGTAGTTCTTCGACTCTTATAAGTAGAATGGATCCTGGATGTTATAGACAATATGGGCTTTATGGAGCTTCCCAGTGCTGAGAAGGCAGAGACAGGAAGATCTCTCAGGCTTGTTGGCCAAGCAGCCTAGCTTACTTGGTGTATTCTAAGCCAGTGAGAAACTGTCTCAAAAAATACAGGATGGGCAGTTACTGAGGAATGACACCTGAGGTTGACCATTGGCCTCCACATATACACACATGCACATGCACACAATTTACACACACTTCTCTCTCTCTCTCTCTCTCTCTCACACACACACACACACACACACACACAAAATAAAACAATTAATTGATTGTAATTAAACCAAGGCCAGAGAGTTAGTTAAGTAACTTGGCCCAACTCACCCATACGAATAGTTGTAGCAGATAAATGTCTAAAATTCAGGCCTGTTGATGTCCACCAAGCCTATGCCATGGGGAAGAAGAATGGAATTGTACACTTGTGGAAGGAGGAAGCACTTTGAAGAGTGGATTCAACAAGAATGGGGAATGGGACCATGTAATACCATGTATGAGGACATCAGTGTATGTATGGAGGCAGAGAGTGCAAATGGAGAGAGAAGACAGGGACCAAAATTGAAGGAGCTTGAATGTGAACCTGAAATTAGTCAGCTGTGGTAATAATAGGATTCCATTCACTGAGACTCCCTTTTGGGATGATGACAGTGGTATAAAGTTTTCAAGAAAACTTTCAACAAAGACTCAAGCTCACTGGGGATAGAGAAGAATGCAGAATGGCATTTGTGATGAGCACCGGCATTGCTGTCAATCTATGGTGGGTAGGCACAGATGAATACTGCTATGAGTCCCGCTCACATGTCAGAAACATGGTCGCAGTGGCTTTGGGTGGGGCCTAGGTTTCTGTAGGGGTTCAAAGCCCCCCTTTGGTTATGATGCTCATTCACATTGGACAACTTGGTTGGCCCTTTTACCGAGCTATCAAATCTGAAGGCTCACTTAGAAACTGCCAATATTTGCTAAATAAATGGTCTCATAACTTGGCATTTCAGACTTGTACATACACTTAAAAGAAATAAATTCTAATGCCAACCAAGAGATATGAAGTCCCTCCTCCAAGCAAGATGCTATCTGCAATTGATAGCTGTTGAGAGAGGGAAAAATCAGTTTTCTTCAATGGAGTGGTACTTGGCATACCAACCACACTCCAGGGCCAATACAAAATGGAACCCATACTTGTTTATTTGTGTGTGTGTGTGTGTGTGTGTGTGTGTGTGTGTGTGTGTGTGTGTGTGTGTGCATTTGTTTGTTGGTTTGTTCATTTTTTTTTATCAAAGAGAAGAACATGAAGTTGGGTGGGTAGGGAGGTGTTAGGATCTGGGAGGAGTTGGGGAAGGACAAATAATATGATCAAAATATAATGTGTGGCATTCTCAAAAAATAGAACACCTAGAAAAGTTTCTCAGCCTGTGTTCATCAGGATAACTGAGGTCTTTTCTCTCAATGGGACCCTTCACACAATCAAAAACGCTATTAAATACACCAACATGGATGAATAACACGGAACTATGCCTTGCATAAGAAGGCAGACAATCTGTATTCATTGTATGATTCCATATGAATGCAATAATACTGGGTGAATGAAATCAAAGTAACAACAATTGCTTCTCTATAGAAATATTAACTAGAAATAAGCAAGGTACTGGAACTCCTTAATATCTCAACTGGGCAGTGGTTACACAGCTACATAGACACATGTAAAATACTGAGCTGTTAACTTACTCTCTTTACTGTGTACATAGATGACACATTGAAAAGTATAGAAGTCACATGTGCATTGCCATGTTCATAAGGCTATTGTAAGAATCTCGTAGTTTTCAAACATAAGATAAAAAGAAAAGTACAGTCTTGTGTTGTCATCAAACACAATTCTTATTCCTGTTGAAGTGAGTGCCATGCACCACCTGTAATTCCAGTGACCCATCAGCCTTTGTAAGGCACAGCCAAATACAAAAAGTTAGTGAGGACACACTGCAGCTGCGGTGGCATTCAACTCAGCTTTGCACAGAGCTTTCTCTGACTGCTGATGGTGAGTTCAGTCTGCTCTGAAACTCTGGGAAGAGGGTCTCTGCAGCTGCAGTTTTCCATTCCATGCCCTCCCTTTCTACTCTGTTCACTTCCCCCAGGAGACAGTAAACACCATCTGGGCCACTGCATTCACCAGCCCGGAAACCCAAATCTCTTCTTCCCATCAAGAAAATTATGCTCAGCCTGACGTGCCCTCCACCAGTGGGGACCAGCCATAGAGCTTCTGCCAGCTCCAAAGTTTGCTGGCCCTGAATGAACACAGAAAAGTGTCTGTGGTCATTAGTACCTGGAAGGTGAAAAGGCACCGTGCAAGGAAGATGAGCATGAGTGGAGAAACCCTGTGTGGTCCACACAATACCCCCATTTCTGGTCCATCACTTTTAAGTCTCTGAGAATATCATCTGTACTAGGAAGGGTACTTTAAGTAGCTTAGGATAAACACATGGCCACAATTACTGATAACTCTATCTGTATTTGTCCAATACTTACCAAGGCCAGCTCACCTGAGGACAGTTTGTTCCTTTACAAAAAGAGACTTCTGCACCACATGTATTAAGATGTAAGCCATTTTCTTCAGATTCTAAACTTTTAAGAACTGTGCCTATGCTTTTTCCAGTATATGCTCAGGTTCTATGTAGTTTAACATATACTGTATAGTTGAGTTAAGACAACAACTTATGATCTCTGGTCCATTAGAACTGTTTTTTTTTTTTTCTTAATGTAGCCATTTAGTATATGCTGTATCTGATCTCTGGAGATCTGATCTCTGATCTCCAGAACATAAGATATGGTCAGCAATGTGTGTGAATATCCTGCAAATATATCTTTTCTTCTTCATTCAACCACGGGTTTTATTTTTTAACATAGTAGATACTTGATAAATGCATGAAAACAAGTTTGAAGATTGTGTTAATATAAAATCACACACACACACACACACACACACACACACAAAATGAAGTTCACAAAGATGTATATTTTCCAGAATAAAGCACCTCCACTAAACCCCAAATACATTGAACATAGGACATTAATAAAACTATTAAAATTAGAAGTCAACCTTGAACAACACTTGCTTAGCCAGGCCAAAGGGAGAAATCGTGTTTAAATTCATTGAAAGAAAACTTAGAAAAATCAGCACACAATTCTTCTGTTCAGTCACACCCAAAAATCAGCTGTTAGAAAAGTTAAGACTTTGTCCAAGGAAGACAAAGTTCAAAGAGACTGAGCCTAATTTTCTTTCTCAAAGATTTTACAGAGGGGCAGTGAGAACGTCTCTCTTTTCTGAAAGGTTCTGAATTGCTTCTAAGAAACATTAGCCTGAGGTTGACACTATAGGGTGTGATTGTCCTTTTCATTGCTCAATTAATTTTTCAGGGAGGGAGAAGACAGGATAGACAATGATTTTTCTTCAGAAAAAAAATGCCCCTTGGTCTCAGGCTTAGAGATTTAATTCTCATTTGTCTCCTCTTGTCTCCACCATTCACTCATTTTTCTTTTCTTAAACTAATTTGCCAAACTCCAGAAGTAATTTCCAGAAAAAAACCATGCCTGGAAGGGAGTTTAAATTTGAGAAAAACTTCCCTTTCGTGAAAACAGCTCCCCTGTGTCATTCAATGAATGCCCCCCACCCCAAGAGGATATTAACTTCCAGTCAGTACTTACCTGTCTGCAGACAGTGCTGTAAGTGTGAAGACAGACACCCCCACTGAGGTAAGCTGTATAAAGGGGATCAGTTTGCAGCCAATCCTGCCAAATAACCATCTGTCAGCCAGGTACTTGCTGGCATCCACAGGGGCGCATGTTACCAGCAGCAGCAGGTCTCCCAAAGCCAGGCTAGAGATGAACAGGTTTGGCACGTTTCGCATTGACTTGACTGTACAGAAGATCTTGATCAGGGTGATGTTGCCAATGAGGCCTATCACGATGATAACCCCATAAACTGCAGGAATGACATAAATGATTCCCGGGTGGAACCAGTTGTCCATCTTGGGGGGGTTCAGACTTTGATTGAAGGTGTTGTTGCAGTGCAGGAAAGGGTCCACTTCCAGGTCCAGGTGGGAACAATTATTCGGAGCCATCTCAAGACTTCTCTCTAGAAAAGTGCCTTCAAGATGCTGCTTCTTAACTTCTGGTTTTGCAGTTAGGTAAAGACGACAAGCTCTGTGCTGGGCTCTTGATCTCCTTTAATACAAGCACTGAATGCACACACACTGGTATTTCAAACTCTAGCTCAGAATGTTGATGTTGGTTCTGCCCAAGCCTCCACACCACCAGTGAGCAATATATCTATCTGCAAATGCCCTGAGTTAACAAGCAACAGAAACTCAGCCCGAAGAAAAGCTTAGGATTAAGCCCAAGCTGTCCCAGCTCTTCCTACCTCCATTCTACTCTGAGTCCCTCTGGCTGCAGTTTACTAAGAACTTTTGGATTGCTATTTTCACACAGCATTTCCCGTCTTCCCTGATATGTAGAACCTGAAGGTTTAAAGTGGGTAGAAAAAACTGCACCAAGAAAGCCTCCAATCCTATAGGCAGGATGCTTTGCACGTCACTGGCTTCCACAGCAAACGGCAGCTCTCCTGAGCTGAAGCTCTGAAGAGGAGCCAGGACCACGTATAGACAGCGAATGCCAGCCCCCTGCTGGACACTTCAATCACTGCCCAGCTGCCTGCTTTCTCCAAATGAGAATCAGCCAGCAGATTGCAACTCCTCTGGCTTAACAGATACCTTTGCCTTTTAATTTAAGCCAGCAGCACCTATAGTCGGTATTTAATAAACGCTGCTCTCTGCAAAGACTGGGGCTATCTCTGATACTATCTCCATGTGTTCCTATGTGACTCATGACCCTTCCCACATCTAATCTTTACTAATGCATTAGAATAGCACCTCTGGGTCAGTGTGTGAGCTGTTCTACTGTCCCTTTGGAATAGGGACTGTTACGGAGAATTGTATGCACAGGGTTCACTTAAAACCTTCAGCCACAGACTTTAGGAAAACCAGAAGCATGGTGCACATGTGCTCTTTCCTGAAAATTTCCCAAGCCTGTGTTCCTTAACCATGGATCCAGCTGCATGCTTAATGCTCATAGATCAATAATCTTTTACAGACCCCCCCAAAACATGCATTTTTTTCTTCTGATCTAAAAACCATATGAACCAGCTTTTTGGTGTAGCTTTTGCAATTTTTTGGCAAGCTTTCAATTTCTTCTGAACTATACAACAGTTGTGGATTCTCCCAAGAAATGGGGAAGAGAAACTGGTGAAAGAAATGTTATGGTCGAAAGAGTACTGAGAAAGACTCTATTAAAATACTATCAGAATCAGGCTTAACCTTTAACTGGCACTAATAAATACATTGTAAGGCTATACCTTCAAGATGTCTGTGGAACTGGCCCTTCCTGAAAGCCAGTTAATAACAAACAGTACTAGTGAAGGCTCATTTTTCAGGATCCATAAGGAATAAAGAAATAAGTGCTTGTTACCATGTCAGGGCCCACCAAGAAAGCTTCCAAGTATGTTGTCATGGACACTTGCAGCATTTGATACCCAGGTGGCTGCTGTAGCCTTTTTGTAATATGAAAATGAAAGTCTCCTTGCAGCCAGAAGACTGACTGACGTTGCACACTTGTAGGTGGAAGGGTTTCTTAGTAGAGTCCAGCATGGCCAGTACTGAGTCAATAACCATGAGCCTAGTGGTGTCAATCACCAGCAGTACAACTTGCTGACTCAGGAAATAAGCTTCAGTCCTGACTGACCCTCTAATTTAATACCTTGGCACATTGCTTGGGCAAGTTACTTACGCATCTTCAGGTTCAATTTCTTTCATCTGTTGATCGAGGATAATTTATAAAGGTCAACAAAAAACAATCCCTGGTCAGACTATATGGTATTTATTCCATTTGACTAATTTTAGCTACTTATCACTATTACCATAATTACAACTTGGGGACTGAAGGGAAAAGATTTGCTTTGGGATAGCTCAGAAGACTGATTGATCTCAAATCAATACTCACACCAGTGAATCACCAACTCCTCTATTTACTTGAGGGAAATTTACAGCAGCCAGGTGCTACACATGTAAGAGGCTAGACAGTGGTGCTGAGCAAGGGGACCACTCCTTAGACACCACTGCCTTTCTAGAAAGGAGCAGCCACCTTTTCTTCAGAAAATGGGATACTTGATGCTGAAGGTTTGTTAAATGCCTGCTAGAGCATTATGAGCGGGGGTGGGGGGTGGGGGTGGGGGGTAGGGGAGGCAGCATGTGATTATCAGCACAAAAGAAGGGGGTGGCATTGAGCAAGAGAACCATTCTATGCCCCTTTATAAAGGTCACTCAAATTAGAAGAGACAGGGCAAGGAAAGTGCATGAGACACAGCTGGAGGCAAATTGGTGAGACAGTGTTGAATCCCATGTTGTTGATACGAAGTTCTGCCTACAGAGTTTGTGTACACAAAGACTTGTGGGCATTATTTCTTCTTATTTCTCCAGATACCTCCATGTGCTGAGCCTGTCTCACTTTTTAAATACATTTAGGCTGCTATTGTTTCTTCCCATGTAAGCAGATGTGGGCAGGTGTTGATTTCTCAAAGCTCTGTTAACATTGTGGCTTCCACAGCAGTATAGAGCATTCTAACAGTATTTTAAGAGTGAAGGTGTATTGAGGCTTGATGTCTACTATCTTCTAGATTTAAGGATGTTGGAAAAGGCTAATCAGGGAATTCTGAAACCATTTCAACTAATTATCTATGAGGACTCTGTCCATCTGTAGTGTTGTATTCTCTTCTATGAAAGTACTGAACATAAGCAGACCTTTGCTTAGCTTGTTGTTTAGTGATGAGCACGAGGTGCTTTGTGACTTAGGAAAATGACATGCAACAAATATAAACACAGTCTCTGTCCTTGAGGAACCCACAATAGGTTTGGACTGTGACAATGTATTTTCTTGTGTGTTAAGGTAAGGATGCCCCTTGGTCTTCCATTGCAGTCAACAGAATCACATTTTCTGATCTTCCAGAAAAGTCCTCTTCTGTGGAACTTTAATAAGAGAAGGGCAGGGGGAGGAGTTGAAGGGAGTGGGAAGAGGGGTGGGAAGGAGAACTGTGGTTGGAATGTAGAATGAAATAAAAAAAAAATATAAAAGGGAGACAAAGCAAAAGTAAGAGAGGGTCAAAAATTTGGTAAAATTTAGGAGGGTAGATGAATTCTTTGAAATTAAAGATAGGATATAAAGTTTCTTCCTATGGTTATGTGCTGGTATTTCTCTCTCCATCAGCTAAAATTATTGATAAAGTTTTATATATATATATATATATATATATATATATATATATATACACACACAACTAAAGTGAATTAGTTACAGTATGTGTCCAGAACAGAGAAGGGGGACTGCAAAATAAAAGAAAGGGATATTGGGCCTGCTGGGGAGACTTTTCATTTAATATTTCAGGGTGGGCATTAGCCTGTAAGATGCAAGTCTTTAAAAATAAACTGGACCAGGAAAGATGATTCAGTAGTTCAGAGCGTATGGTACTATTACAGAGGACCTGATTTCAGTTGCCAGCATCCATATCTCACAAAACTAGCTCTAAGGGGACCCACCCCATGCATTTATCCTCTGTAAGTACCTACACCAACATGGGAACACCCACACACAGGTATACGCATACACATGAATAACAAGAAAAATTAATCAGCAAGATTGTCAGGGGTACATTGCTAAAATACAACTTCTAAGACTCTACTCTATATATTCTCATTTTAAATCTTCAATGCCAGAACCCAGAAATCACTATTTTTCATTTAGGTCTGCAGAGGATTCCAGATCTTTGCTGTGCTAGGGGCTAATAAGGTAAACATCATAGGCTCTAGAGATGATGTCAACATTGACAACACTTATTGTGTCCCTTCTGCTGAGGGAGTAAGAAAGGATTTAAGAGTTTACATTGTTGCTATGGATTCTTGCTACCCAAGAGTAAATCCTTAAGCCAGCAGCGTGGACATGACCTCAGGGCTAGGGGGCATGGTGGAGACACTTGCTTAGGCCTACCTAGCAACCTGACTTTGATCCCTGAATCCCACAAGGTGGCAGGAGAGAACTGACTCCAGAGAGCTGTCCTCTGACCTCCATACTATGTGGCACATTAATGCTGGTGCATGCTCACACATATCCAAAATAAAATAAATAAATACAATTTCAGAAATGCAGACTCCTAGGCACTGCCCCAGCCCTCCTGATAAGCTGCATTTAAAAGAAATACTCTTTGCTGTATGTTAAAGTCTGTGGAACATGGATATAGGCATCAGGAATATCTGGAAGTCATGGTTAAGAACCCACAATTGAAATGGGGAATGGGCACGAGACTGGAGGCTTACTCAAGTTTAGCATGGAACCAGCAACTGGACCACCTCGAAATTCAGCTAAGAACCAATGCAGTCCTGCAGCTCAGTGTGGTAATGCATACCTGTAGTCCTAAAACATAGTCTGAGCAGAAGGATTAAGAGTTCCAGATTATAAAACAAATAGATAAAAAAAAATATTGCAGCGGGGCTTCTTCATATCCCTGATAATGGCTGAGGCTTTTTCCCAGATTCCTGATAATGGCTGAGAGTTGTCCCAGCATCTTAGAGTACATCACCTTATCCAGGAGTAAGATTCCAATCACAGAGATCCACCTGCCTCTGCCTTCTGAGTTTTAAGATCCAGGGTATGTGCCAGTTCACCCAGCCATAGGTAGGTGATGTTTCCTCCTTTGTTTTAGGAATATCACTCTGAGATTAAAAAGATGGGAGTCATTCTAGAGGAAATTCTGAACCTGCTCTTGTGCCAACTGAATTCACTATAGGAATGAAGGCAAGTGAGTCAATGGAAATGAGAGATGAAGACAGGTAAGTACTGAAGATGAGTGAGAACAAGAATGTTGAATGCCACATAGTCCAAACGTACAGTGAAAGAGTCAAGAGTTGAGTGACATTCAGCTTCGATGAGAAGGTGATGTGCTGACGGTGGATGGGCACTGGGCATGGTTTAGATGTGAGATTTGTGGCAGCAGCATATGGAGAAGATGTGCAGAGGACTGCAGCAACTCTTGCTTGAAAAGAATCAGAGATGTCAAATTTTAGTGCTGCAGCAGAAACAGACAAGGCAGATGACTCTATCCAGATCCTACAAAGCTGGGATTGGTTCAAGTTCCCTTTTTGTTCTCAACACTCTGTGACTTTTCACAAGCTGGGAAACTTCTGTCAAAGATGAAGGGTGTGTTCCCAAAGAGTCAAGTGTCAGTTTGAGCCTTATGAAGCTGCAGGAAAAAAATGCACATGGCCAGAGTAAGCCTGGAGAGGAAGGTCACATTCTTAACTCACCTCAGAGCTAAAAGAACACCCAATGTTGTAGTTTTTACGTCCACCTATTCTGTATGCTTGCCTGACCTAAATGTGGGCAGTACCAGTCGATGCATTTAGGTCCTTAACTGAATATAAAGAATGTGTGGTAGTCACAGGAATTCAAGACTTCCTGTTTCCTGACTGTTGATGTAGCCTGCCCAACCTCCTCAAGCTCTTTCCACAGTATCACCCCCTCCATGATAGACTGTACCCAGGAACCAGGAACCAAAAATAAATGCTTCCTTCCTTAAGCTGCTTTT